GGGACGACCTTGTGAATAACAGAGGGCAACCGGTTACCAGCATTTGAGAGAGGCGGCCAAGCGGGCGTGGAGGTGCTTGAGCCTAATGAGAGGTTGAGGGACTGATCTTGGAAACCGTGACGGGCTGAGTTGCCAGGCGTTCCAGGGCGACTAGGCTGAGCCGAGTTTGGCGCCGACATCAACTGCTGCTGAATGAATGTATCCAAGCTGGTTTGGGTCGCGCTGGGATTGAAGAAAGGATTGGTGTCTCCGCTATTGGGCGTTGGTGGGCCGTTGGCGAATTGACCCGACATAGCGGACGACGTCACAAACGGCCTCTCCGCCGGGGACGCAAAACCACGCGCCGCAGCGAAAGGGGCGTCGTTTCCTAAGACTCCTGAATTGGATCCACCCGCAGATGACTGCCCGTTCTCAAGCTTCGTCATGGTCAATTCGGACGGAAGACGACCGGAATTGCTGTGTTTCCGTCGCTTGGACATGGGTCCTGAGAAGTCGTTCGGCGAAGTCTGCCGTGAAAGACTGCGAGATGTTTGCGAGCTTGCGGTGGCGGCGTTCTGGCCGTTCTGAGCGGCGACAGCGAAGGAGCCTGTTGGCATTTGATACTGCGAGTTGAACCGTTGCTGAAGACCCTGCAGATCCGTTGTTGAGGATGATTGGAAGGCCTGCTGGGACGGTGTTGACGACTTCGCAGTTTCGACGGGAGGACCTGACGCAAAGACCCCCACTCCAGGCAGCTGTGTCCCGTCAGGGAGAGATGGGGAAGGGCCCGGGGCAGGAGGGGCCGGGGGAGCGTGCGTCTTGTGATCATCCGTGATCATGATGGAGTTTGTGATTGCCTGGGCAATGACATTATCCATATGGTCTTTGACAGTGAAAATGACCTGGAAACCGAGCTTTTCGTTCTGGTGCCTGCAATAGCATGCAATTCGCATTGGAAGCTCGACTTGCATTGCTCCAGCGGGAATGATTGGCGCAGGTGCATCAATATAGCCTGGCATGGCGTTCTTGGAGGGCTCGGTCCAATCTTTGGTCTCGTTGGTGTTGAAGACGATGACTCGCTTCTCCTCGTCCTTTTGAAACAACTCGTCCTCCTCGGGCTTTCTCTGCTTCTTTCTGAAGGCACGCTTCCGTTCACGCTGTATGCATCCAGCGCAGATTTTCACCTCTCCGCCGTCCAAGGGCTTGTCATCTTCTGGCAACTCTTCCGTGGCGTTCGGGCTAGAGCTTGAGGTGCGGTACCGCGTCTCGCCCCTTGCTCTTGCAAATGCCTTCTTCAGTTTCGTCTGATCCTGCATCGCGCTAGTGCAAACAAGACTCGTATGCAGTTGCAAGGTATCAGCCGAACGATCAGCAGATGGAGGAGCAAGGAATTTCGGCTTCGAGATGGTGTGGGTCGGCAGTCGTAATTTCTTGACGCCCGAGGGCATTGGATAGAGAGTCAGCCTGATGGGAATTTGAGTTTCTACGCGGGATTTTAGCGAGGTGGGATGAACGGTGAGGACATGAAGCTGAGTCGTTTCCGCTTTCATATTGTTTTGAGGGGGAGACTGTGCAAAGTTGATGCCGAAAGGAAACCCATTCGCCGCAAAATTGAAGTTTCCGTTCAGTGGAGATCCGGCGTTCATGTTGATGCCGCCAAAACTTTCCTCCAAAAGCGACGACGGTGATTGTCCCGGCCATTGGCCTGATGACGACCTACTTTGACCGGGCATTTTGCCCACTGTGAAGGGAGAGGCCGAATGGCGAAATTGCTGCGAGATAATCAGTAAAGGGACGAGAAAGAATGAGGGTCTGAGTGCATACCGGAGAAGCTGATTGCCTCGAGGTGGAACGAGACGTGCTCCGTATTTGCGACTTCAGTCGCTTCTGGATCTTTGGCTGAGAGGCCGAGTCAGTCTTCAGGGGACTGGGGCTACTGGCTGCGCTTTCAAAATCGAAAGCAGCGTCCATCGCCTTGTTACTGGATTCGAGGTCGGTTTCGACGGTGAAAACACCCTCCATGGCCGGCAAGGAAGGGTCAAAGCCAAACATCGATGTTTCCTCCTTCATTGAAGCGAGCTCCGAGTTGATCCAATCTTCAGTTGCGTAGCCAAATGGCATTATGTTGGCGTGATCGCTACGAATAACGGAAGCGGACGAGGCCACGGAGGTGTTTCGAACGTGATTCCGCGGAGAATCGGACGAAGAACTGGGACTTGAGTTATCCAGAGATTCGGCAGGCGAGTCTGAAGCAACGATTTTGGGTTGCCTCAGCGCATCCTGTTCTTGGAAGTGTCGCTTTATGGAGAGTTCTGAGGGCGACAAACACACAGACTCCGAGTCGGTGACTGTGCGGGAGGAGTGGGAACGGGCAAAGAGATCGTCGAAATCCTGACCGGCGACCTCGTTCATCTGCAGTCTCGCAGATTCGAGAAAGCTTAAATCGGTATCTTGATAGGGATTTTCCATCTCATCATCGACGACAATGGGATCCAGGGAGGGAAATACGGGCGATGAGGCAGCCTCCACAGGTCCCATCATTGAGTTTCAGGATTACGGAGCGGAAAGCCAAGGGGCCACTGTTGAAGACGCCCAAATCCTCGCAGCGTGCTCCCGATATCAAGATGTAAGACTCGAAGACCGATGTTCAAGGGATGGCACGAGGGCTGTAAGATCCGACCGCAAAAGTCGTCTCACGCGGCGCAATCGAACTTCCTAACGGTGTTGTCTCCGATCCATCGAAACGAATCGCAGGATGATGATCAAGAAGGAGCGATAAATTCGTTATTGTACAAATAACCACTAGGTTGCCCTTCTCAGATCGAAAAGACGTTGATCGTGACCGCCGAAGAGTTAAGGATTGAGGCGCGGCAATAGCAGCCGATCGGTTTTTGTTGAGGGTGTGGAAAGGGGAGGGAAAAACCGGAGCGGCGACCGTCTCGGGGGGACGACAGGAGTTTGGAGAGAGGAGATGGTTGATAAAGAATTCTCACGGTTGACTAGAGAAAGACAGCCTACTGAGACTCCGACTGAGAAACAACGCTGAAGGAAACCCCCAAGTAGATTAGGTAGATGATGATAAGGAGCTGGTTGACAGCCAGCAGAGGAAAGGGGGTTGGTTGAGCCTGTAGCCTAGTCGTCGGGTCTATCTGGCTCCTTTCCGTATTATTATTGAGGACGCAATAGGCAAAAATCTGCCAGCCATAAAACTCAGGCAACCATGAGTGACTCCGATTCCGCGGTGAGATACCCCATGGCTACGCTAATCCTATTTTGGATGGTCGGCCTTGGCTCGGACTTTGTTTTTCTCACTATGACTTTTGAGCACGATCTATCTATGGCTTCAGACTTTGGGGTTTCATAGGGATGATCTCATTCTAAAGCCTTCGTTACTCTTCTTCCTCGTATCTTGTGCCTTCTCCTCATGTGGTTCCTTGTTGGACGCATGCCTCGACAGCCGGGGGTCGATGAGCGGCTTGACACCGGATGCATATCACGCATCCCTCCTAGTTGAGGTAGTCGCCTCTAGCAACCGTGCGTTCTGGCTGAGGCGTAGATACAGAGCATAGATAGACTAAGGTACAACAATCGCATCAGTATTGTCGCAGCTCGCAATGCTCTATCTAGTCTCTGGGACCAACCAGAAAACCCCATGGGAATCGCTTTAAGGAAATACCATGCCACAAACGTGTCTAGATACCCGCGGTGCTAGAGATCTTATCAAGTTATCGTTGTTCCTTGCCGAGTGATGTAGGACCCGTAAGGTATTGTACGACCCTCCAGTCTCATCGGCATGCTTTGCCTGCCTGATACCATGGCCATCCAGACCAATATCGAGTATCAACATCAACGCAACTGTGTTGCACTTACTAGGTAGTAACAGGCATGTGAGTTGCCATCGTCCAGTGTGTTCTCATTGCTACTGCTGAGATAAGGCGGCTCTGTGTGGATTTCCTCGCCACTGAAAGCCTCTCGAATCGATAAGCACACAGCGGCAGGGGTGTTTGGCCTGCTTATGTTCGGTCACTTGTATTCATCGGCACTATGGGAGCCATGTGCCTTTGGCGTCAACGACTCGATGAAACATGACTTCTATATAGCGAATGGGATATAGGAAGCTTGGATTCCAGTCCAACGTACGGAGTATATATCTCATAGGTCCTTGTCACTCCCAACCACCCAACTTTCACCTTGCGAACTGGGAACTCCATGCCCCATGGATGAGCGTGTTATTATCTACTCACTTGCCCTTCGTCAGAAAGCCATTTTTGAATTTTTTCCAATCGAGTCTAGGATCCGCATTCAAGTCGATTATGCGTATGTAGTCTAAGGTTCATGGCTTGACATGAAAATGCTACTGAGGGCACTAGGTACTCCATATTTCGGAAACATTGGTTCATCCGAAGGCATATCATTAATCATGACCTTCAATTGGACAGCGTGTGGTGATCCAGCGGGACGAGGCCCGCGGCAAACATCTCGATGGTCAACCTGCTCCGTCTCCAATAGGTCATAACCGAGGCGGATCCGTCCAAAGACGTCCCGTTACAGTATGGTCGTGCGTACGGAGTATAACTCTTAAAACCAGGTGCATAGAAAAGCACAAGCATCAGGTTTTCACAACTCATTTGTCCGATCAATATAGTTTCGAGGTCACTTGGCGGCATCCAGATGACGCTGTGGATTTGGTCCATCGACCCCTCTTTTCTGATAGTTCCAACGATCTCGGCACAGGCACATGTGGGCTCTAGTCAGCTATGCATGCGCTTGAAATCTAAATAGACGGCCCTTCTCGTGTGTAGAAGAACACATTTCTCAAATCGTGGTACTCCCTACCAGTATGGCGCCCTACACCTCAGAAGCAGAGGTCGAAGAGGCCTACAACACTCTGCAAGCGACCTTCCGGTCCGACCGCACCATGGAGCTAGCTTGGAGAAAATGGCAGATCAAGCAGCTTTGGTGGCTTGTGGAGGATAATAAGAATCATATCACCCAGGCTTTGAATAAAGATTTCCACCGACATGCATTTGAGACGTCCATTCACTGAGGTCGTGGCCATTCAGACGGACATCGTCCAGCATCTCAAACATATCGACTCCTGGACTGCCGATCAGGTGCCAGATTCTGGGTTGTCCAAGAGGGCCATGCTCTGGCCTGTTGTCCGTCCAGAGCCGTTTGGTTTCGCTCTCATCATCGTGCCTTGGAACTTCCCCGTCTCGCTGCTGCTGCTGCCCTTGGTTGCCGCCATTACTGCCGGATTTGCGGCCATCCTGAAGCCGTCGGAAATGACACAAGCCTCACAGGATCTCCTGGTTGATCTGATCCCAAGTATATGGATCCAGGTGCTATTTGAGTCGCTACGGGAGGTCCGGTGGAAACGACTACCTTGATAGAGCGCAAGTTCGATAACATCTTCTTTACTGGATCTGTCAATGTGGCCCGTCATGTTGTCAGAGCAGCCGCGAAGCATCTCACGCCGACAGTGCTGGAATTAGGAGGACAGCGTCGGGAAATTGTCACCTAAACCGCGGATACCAAGAACGCTGCGGAAAATATGGGCAGATGGGTTAAGTGTCTCAATTCGGGTCAGATTTGCCTCTCGGCCAACCACGTTTTTGCGCATCCCTCCGTGCAGAAGAAGCTCGTCGAGCGGATGACCTTCCACTTCAATGAGTTCAATGAGAAGGGTGGCTCTGATGGCATGATGCACGTCGTCAACCAAAAGAATTTCGATCGGCTCAAGGAGATTCTCGAGAAGAGTCAGGGAAAGATTGAATACGGAGGAGAACTCGATGCGTCGCAGAACCGGATTGCACCGTCTGCCTTGACCAATGTCAAGATGACTGGCAAGTTCTTGAGTCCACTTTTTTGCTCTTCAACTTGACTAACAATCGCCAGATTCGCTGCTGTCCGAGGAGTTGTTTGGGAGCATCTGTCCCAATCTGACCTCAAATACCTAAGAAGCCATCGACTCAATTAACAGGTTAGTAGACTGATCAAGAACCTGAAATCGCTGATGCCGACCGTCCGCGTTATAGTCTACCTCAACCCCTGGCCATCTAGGAGGAAGTCGATCATGGTAGGTCCATATACCCTGCAATATCCTCGAATCATCGCTGTGTTTCAAGCTAATCGCCCTAGTCATTTTCTCCACCATATCCGGTGGCGTCACGGTGAACGGAGTCATCACCCATGCCACCGTCCCGGCAGCCCCGTTCGGCGGTGTTGGGGACTCCGGACAATACTACCATGGCGAGCACGGGTTTAAAGCTATTACTCACTCCCGGGTCATTGCAAGGCCACTGCTTTTATATTTCAAGTTTGCGTCGCTCTTGCTGCCACCGTATTCAGCAGACCGGGTCAAATATGTGTCCGTCCGAAACAGTCCTGGAATCCAGAGAGGTTGGTCTTTGGAGGACGAGAGGCGCGTTGCTACAAGAGGATTTGTGGCCAAGAACTCAGTTCGTCTTCTCAAGATATTGGCCTGTCTAGCGGTTGTGGGATTAATCGATTATCGGATGGATCAACGACTCGGTGTCCTTCATGGTGTGGAGGCTGTGGTGGTCTCTATCTGGTCGATTCTTGAATTCTGAGACATAGTTGCAGCAAGTTCATTCTCATGCATACGGTGATTCAATCCCTATTATGCAACCGCGGGTCAATTGGTATTGCCTTCGCGAATGCTCTTCCTTTCCCTGTGTAACCCATTCTAAGCAATGAAAATGCTGCACACTCCTGGGCCATAGGGATAATTTTAGACAAATTTCCCTTTCCTTGCACCAGTATGACGAGAATTGTGATGGATGCATTTCTTGTTCCTTTCTCTACGAATTCTTGGAGGAACTGTCGTCAAGACCTGTCACGCGGTGGGCAAAACCTCCCAAGTGGTTGCCATTTGAGCGACGAAAAGCATCTGCCTTTCCCCACTTGCTTCGACGAAGAAGATGCAAACAGTATCCCTTGTGCTACAAGATAGCTCCACTTTTTAAAAGAGGCGCTGCCTGTTAGGCGACAAATCAATGAGAACCTCGGAACAGAGCGAGAGCTCAGACGCTGAAAATCAGAATGGCACAGACTCGGTTAGATATCCAATGCCCTAAATTAAGCCGTTCTGACCAGTGCAGTTGATCCAGGAGAAGGCAGAGCGGGCCAGCGGCAACCCGAAGCCTTCGGGCGTTTCAGATCCCACAGCACCGGTGCACCCTGAACAAGTAAGACCTCATTTCCAGCCAAGGAGGTGTCTCACCTTCGAATGGTGTGTGCATCGTATAATCAGTCTTTTCGGGGCCTAGTACCCTGCAGCAACAAGTGCAGATTGCAGCTCCCGGCAGAAAGAGTGACGTTGTTAGTAACGAACGTTGGCGCTTCAGGAAATGACAAGGTCACGGTAGTGCAGGTATGGTTTGATATAGAGGGTTTGGCGGCTAGGAAGCCTAGAATACCGGTGAATGAAGCACCGGAGCTCGTCCAGGACAGTATGGTGATCAAGCGTCAGTGAGATCGTTCGCCAGACATGGCCTATCTAATACATGCGATGGCCAGACCTATCTGGAGGGATCGTTTCAATGGGTTCACAACTTCGTAGACCCCAATGGCCAAGACCAGTCACTTCGTCATTGCCAAGCCAGAGCATTTCGCAATATATTAGCCCTCGGCTCATTCATTCTGACCTGTCTATCGTTAGTTTATGGCTCCGTCATCACTCACCAGTGACTGCACAGCATCAACAAGAACCAGTCTAACTGCTTCATCCTGCCTTTTTCTTCTGGTCTGTATCAGTTTGACATACGGAGTAGAGGAATGAAAGACCATGTGGATCGCGGAGAACAGCCGATTCGTTCATGGAAGGAAAAGGGAGCCGAGTCGGTGTTGGGGGTTAATTGACCTTCCATTGACGTGCCAGCCATTAATAATGCGATACAACAAACATTCTCGTATCGATCAATATGATAGATCCACCGGGTTCTATCTACCAGGGGTAAACCCATTTTAATAACGGTTTCTTGGCAGGGCAGGATGGAGACAGAATGGAGAAACGTCGAGCTAAAATGAAGAAAGGAAACAGGATGAAACTCAGACTGTCACAAGAGAAGTGTCCACTATTCCCAAACAGGAAGTGCTATAGCTCCTATGTGTCTCTCCATTTTAACCCCTGGTGCAGCTTTCAACGCCGACACATTCTTCGACCTCCGCAGACCTGACTCGTTTTGTAAGGCTCATTTATGTGAGACTCAGTGGCTCTATCTCGACTTTTTCTCCACCTATCAGATAATCCTGAGTTTGAATCCACAGGAAAGCTACCAGCAATCTTGCTGTTGTGAGCTACGTCCGCTCCGTAAGGAGTACCTGCGATGAACCTTGCAGAATTGGCTTCATCGTGAATTCGGAGAGCTGTTCGGAGCTTTAACCGAGTCTAGATAGGTTCCTCAAGCTTGCTGGAGATATAAGAGTCGTCCTCGTCACAATGGAGGACAGCTTTCTTCTGTTCTTCTCCTCATCAGCATTCCTTTCTCACCGGTTTCAGCACCGTCCATTCTCTCATTCTGTTCCATCGACTTCATTGACTGAAGTCCTATTTTCGTCATTCTTTTTCTCGTCTCTCGTTCGATTCGAACCTAAGATTACGCAGTGCGTCGATCGCCTGGACAATCCTAAAAAACCTACAACATGTCTGTCTCTAAGATCGCTGCTGTTCTTCTCAGCTCAGCCGCCCTGGTCGCTGGTCACGGATACGTGACGGGAGCCGTTGTCGATGGCACATACTACACTGGATACCTTGTCAACCAATACCCTTACATGAGCAGCCCTCCTGACAGCATCGCTTGGTCTGAAACCGCTACCGATCTGGGTTTCGTCGACGGCAGCAGCTACTCTAGCGGCGACATCATCTGCCACAGGGGTGCTAAGAATGGTGCCCTCTCTGCTGAGATCAAGGCCGGCGGGAAGGTTGAATTCCAATGGACTGAATGGCCTGAGTCTCACCACGGACCGGTATGCTGGCCACGAAAGCGAACAATTGGTTAGGATATTAACTTAGTACAGGTCATTACCTACATGGCCAACTGCAATGGTGATTGCGCCTCAGTTGACAAGACCACTTTGGAATTCTTCAAGGTTGATGAGAGTGGTCTGATCAGCGACACTAATGTCCCTGGCACCTGGGCCTCCGACAACCTAATCTCCAACAACAACAGCTGGACCGTTACTGTTCCCAGCAGCATCGCCGCTGGCAACTATGTCATGCGTCACGAAATCATTGCCCTTCACTCCGCTGGAAACAAGGACGGTGCCCAGAACTACCCTCAGTGCATCAACCTTAAGGTTACCGGTGGTGGCAGCGACACTCCTTCAGGTACCCTCGGCACTGCGCTTTACAAGGACACTGACGCTGGCATCCTTGTCAATATCTACCAGAGCCTGAGCTCCTACGACATTCCTGGGCCTGCTCTCTACACTGGTGCTTCTTCTGGCAGCTCCAACAACGCTGGTTCCGCCTCGTCTACCGCCGCTGCTTCTTCTGCCACCGCTACTAGCGCTGCTTCCGGTGCCGCTCCCACTGCCACCATCACTCAGACCTCTACTGCCGTCCAGACTAGCTCTGCGACTGTTTACGAGTCCTCTACCACCACCGAGGCTGTGACCGTCACCAGCACTCCTGCCCAGCAGAGCTACGTCCAGGCTCCTACCTCCGCGCCTAGCTCCACCGCCGCTGCTCCTGCCGCCAGCTCCAGCTCCAGCGCCACTCTTCCTAGCGGCAGCAGCCTGACCGAGTACTTCAACTCTCTCAGCGCTGAGGAGTTCCTCAAGGTCCTCAAGGAGACCTTCTCCTGGCTGATTACCGAGAAGGTGCACGCTCGTGATCTCTCTGCCTAGATCAAAGCACTTCGAACGATTCGACAAGCCCTTTTCTGCACATTTTGACTTTTGTGCATAGCGCCTCTGACGAGTTTTCTTTTTCAAACATATATATGGGATCAGGAATCCTTTTTGTATTTTAGAAGCAATCAAAACACAACCATTGGAGCTTTTTGCTCTACGCTGATCATTCTTTGCTCTTGTTCTACATCTGTACCACTAACAGGATAATGCTTGTAAAGTAAATCAACTCCGAATACTAGATTCTGTTGAACATTGATGTTCTACATCGGCCTTCACTCTCCACTTAATCATTACCTTCACTGTATGTTATTGAATATCGTTATCGTCAATCACAGAGCATACAGAGAGCTTTCTGATTCTATATATAAGGGACCATGATTCCCACTTACCTGACATCTCTTCTTCATCTACTTCTCTCCAAGACAATAACTTCAAGCATGGAGCAGCAAATAGAGAAGTTGCTCTTGGCTTGCTATTCCTTATCTTCTTGCTATGCAACATTTAAGATAGTACACCTCTGTTTCCATGAACAGGTATCAGGATCTCAGGACTATGACGGATGTTAATGACTGACATTCTCCAATGGAAATGGGCCTGGAGGGCGACCATTTGAATGATCTCGAGTTGAAACTGGAGGTTTGGGGGAATTCCGCACAGAGACAGCAGCAGCACAGCTTGCAAGAAACTATGTAAAACATCTGTTCATCCTACTTATATGCAAACATCACTTGAGAATGGAGATAATGTATATGCTTGGACCAGTGTGTAGAGAAGAAGATCGACCTCAAAAGCGGGGAGAAGCGGCCGATTGTTGTTGCGGACAAAAAACCGGACTGACATCAACTTTTCCTTTTTGTTCCAGCGTCTTTAGTACCCATCTTCCACGAGACTTGGTTGTGAGCAGGCTGTATTTATCGGTATCAAGCAGCTCAAAACTGACTCATATCATATTTCTGTGCCTCGTCACCCGCCACCATGTTCAAGAAAAAGCCGACAGTGCGTTGTGCCCCTCCCCCGCATTTCTCCCCTCGCTGGCAGTCTGTCCGAGTCGCTATTTATCAGATGGTAGAATGATAGCTTCATACTTACTTATCAAGTTATAGTTCAAGAACCTTGCGCCCTTACGATCTTCGGACCGTCGCAAGATCGCCGACCAAATCATCAGCGATTACAACATCAGTATCCCGTCAACTGCACCGGCCGAGGATGACTCTAACACTCCTACCACATCGAACCAAACCTCGCCCAACATCACAGCGATCCGAAACTCCCTTCTTCCTGACAACTCGCTTTCTGCTCGCTTCACCACTACTGCAGGGCCCCACCTCCGAGAAGTCCAAGGCACAGTGTACGTAGGAACACACCCCGAGGGCGAGGAACGCATTCTATGGTTCAAGGTGGAACATGGGCCCGGTGCCGATGGACGATTTTATCCCACGGTTTACACATTATGGCACAATCCCAACCTAGTGCCCTTGCTTCACACACCGGAAATGGTCATGCAGAAGCTCCGTGGCGGCGCAGACTTGATGACCCCGGGACTCGCCGATGAACCACCTTTCCCTGAACGCGCGGTCAAAGGTGCTGTTGTCGCCGTGGCCGGGTTGAATCGACATACTGTCCCGTTATTTGTGGGTGTCTGCGAAATTGACATTGCGGGACTTGGGGAGGTTCAGGGCACGAAAGGACATGCCGTCCGAGGCGTACACTGGGAGGGTGATGAGCTGTGGGCCTGGAGCTCGTCTTCTCGTCCTGGACAACCTGCTCCTGAATACCTACCTGAATGGGATGTGGAAGCGGGCGAGGAAGACGTGGAGGCAGTTGAGGAGCGAGTCAATGAGCTGTCCTTGGGCGAAGATCAGCAGACGCAACCTGCGGAGGAGGCGCCTCAAGCCGAATCTCCCGAGCAGCAGGCTGAAGAGGGAGCTCCCATTGAGGAAGCGAAAGAACCCTCGACAAAAGGTCGGCGCTCATTTTTTCCGTCTCGGTATTTCGTTCTGAAACTGACCAGCCTACAGAGATCGATGAAGCTTTTGAGAAAGCCTTCCTTTATTCTCTGTACAAACTGAAACAGGACAATCCCTCCGCACCGAACCATGGCCTGTCACTTCCCGTACAACCATCCGCCCTTGTTTCGAACATGCTTACTCCTTATCTGCCGATTTACTCTTCTCAGCAAGCTCAATACTATCAGATCAAGAAGACAAGCTGGAAGAATGTCAAGAAGTTCATCAAATATCTTGATAAGCAGCGTCTCGTCAAATCCAAAGACCGCAACGGACAAGAAACTGTTATCCTAGATGTGGATTTCAACGACCGCCGCGTCGAACAATTCGTTCCTTACAAGCTTCCATCAAAGAACGCCGTCGAGAATGCGGGAAAGCCCATCCCCTCAGGAAACAAGAAGCCTGCAATTTCGGAGGGAGACCCTTCTGTGGGACAGACAATCGTCGTTCAGACTCTTTATCGGCCAACGGGAAAGCTCATTCCAACGATCTTCCCAGCACTATCGAGCGGTGACCCCAGAAACTACTACAAGTATTCTGAAGTGTCCAACCGTTTGGACGAGTACATCCAGTCTCAAAACCCGCCTATTGTCTCCAATGAGAACCGCCGTATCATCTCGCTCAACCCCTTCCTCGCAAACACAATCTTCACATCTTCCTCAGCCGAGGACAAGACCACCATTGCACGTGGCAAGACCACCAGAGATGGCCTCTTGAAGCGGATCGTGGAAGACTCGGCGTTCCTAACTCCGCACTATGTCATCCTCAAGCAGGGCCAGACCCTATCCGATGTGAAGCCGAAAGCGGGTGCAACTCCCAAGGTCAACCTTGTGCTTGAGAAGAGGACAGGTTCGAAAACCGTCACCAAAGTTTGGAATTTGGAGAATTTTGGTATAGTCCCTAGTCTGCTGGCTGAAGAACTGCAGAAGAAATGCGCTAGCAGTACCAGCGTTGCGCAGGCCACTGGAGCCACCAAAGGCGTGATGGAGGTCCTGATTCAAGGCGACCAAAGGAAGGCTGTGGAAACAGCGCTGCTCCGACGTGGTGTCAAGACGCAGTGGATTGATGTGGTGGATAAGACGAAGAAGAAGAAATGAACCTGATCTGAGTGAAGGCCTACTGCATTTAGCGATTGGATAAAGCATTGATCAAATACTTGGAAATACCACATGGCTTGGACGGAAGAATTAGATACATTACTTCTTCGGGAGGCATCCCTTCACAACGGTAGATTTGACTCTCAGGGTCTTCATCATGAAGCCCTCGCAAAGAGCAAAGAACGGCCGAGAACACGGGGTAATACACAAAGTGCAAAGAAGACAGACAGCTCGAACAACCGCTTCTCCACTTCTCGACAGGAAGCCTACCTTTCGTGAAGCTTCTATTTCTGACTTCTGCACATAAAACGATAGCTCACCCCCCAGGAGGCTCACAGCTGAGCTTCAGAGCAACAGCATACGAAATGCAACAGACAAATTGCCCGTTTCATCAACGGAAGATCATTCAAAGCCATCCAAAATCAAATGATTCCACCAATCGGCGATCACCCGATCTCTCGACCCCTCCCCGGTCCGAGATGGCATGCGAAACATTCCGTCCCTCTATCTATATAATAGCCTGATGTTCCCGCATCTGGGCGACTAATCAAGAAATAAATCGATAGAGAAGTTTAAAACCGAGGAAATGCCAGTCTACCACATCGGTGCGTGCTACCCTTCTCCGACCAAAGCGGATCATTGACCAGTGGCAGTTCTCTTCCGCCTCAAGCCAGGCGTCACCCAGGCCCAGCTCGCCAACTGGGGCGCTGTTGCGGAGAGCATGGTGGGTAGAATCCCCGGCTTGATATCGTTGAAGGCCGGGCAGCCGTTGCCTATCAGTGTTCCCCGTGCGAAGGGGTTCGATATGGGGCTTGTGGCTGTGATGGAGTCGCCCGAGGCTGTGGCTTCTTATGCTACGCATCCGGTCCATCTTGAGTTTGTTTCCGCCACCCGCCCCTTGCTCCTTGTTACATGTGTGCTTGAATTGGCTAATGAGGGGCTGCAGGGTGTCGAAACTGAGAGAGGAGTTGTGCGATGATACGCTGGCGTATGACTTGGAGTTCGAGAATTGATTTAAGAGGGTGTAAGTGCGGAGGGTGGAGGCTGAAGAGCCAAAATTATATCATGACCATTTGCTAGATCCTGCAAAGATAACCCCCAAGTATCAATGATAACAACAAATGATATACAACGCCATTAAGAAACCAGCAGCAAAAGACGAAAGTGCTTTTGTTGTACCATAACAAATGGGAATAGTCCATTAGCTCCGTGATGAAGGAAGGTTGGGACCAGTCGGGAGAAGTTGAACAGAAGAGAGTCAAGCCATTACTCCTTGGCATCGACCTTCTTGGCAGGGTGCTCGCCATTGGCAGCGGGCTCATCCTCGCGGGCGCGCTTCTGGCCAGATGTAGCATCGTCGGCGGTGCTCTGCACGACAGGAACGCCACTATAAGCAGATTAGTCAAATGCTGCAAGACCAGGAGATAGAAGCTATAACTTACCGAGCATCCTTCTGGACCTCACGGCGCTGCTCGCCCTGAGGCTTGCCAAAACCCTTCTTCTGATCTTCTGCTCGACGCTCGCGCCAGTCACGCTTGTCACCACCGCGGGGGCCGCCACGGCCCCGTCCACGGAAACCACCACGGCCACGGCTGGGCCTGATGCGGCCAGCTTCGATGTCCCGAACCTTCTCCTCACAGTAATCTTTCTTGGTCTTAATGAGCAAATCCTGTCCCTTCCACTGGGGCTTAGGATCCAGAGCAAGGAACTCCTTCTGCTTCTCCTCAGTCGCAAACTCAACAAAAACGCTTCCCTTGAAGATCCGATCGTGTGTGCGGCGGAGACGAATTGCGTTGACTGGTCCGTATGGAGCGAAGAAGGCCTCAATGTCGATTTGAGTGGTAGGAGTTTCCTCTCCGAAGCCCTTGGCGTAGATGCTACGGCTCATGGCCTTGTCTTCGAAAACCTTGGCCACGCTTGGGTCGGGATTCTCGGTCACCGATTCAGGAAGAGGCACCTTGCGGCGCACGCAAGTGTCGTTGTCAGTCAGCTCGAGAGTCTCGGAGGACTTCAGAGCCTCAACAATGGCGCTGAAGGGCTGGAAGCGACGCATGCGCTTGAAAGAATGAAGGAGTTCGAGAGGAACAGGGCGGTTGTTGCTTCCGCCCACCTTGGAAAGAAGGAACTTATCCATGGGAAGGTTCGAGTCAGAGAAGTAGAATTCGACCTGCTTGCGGATCTCATCCTGGTTGTCTGTGACTTCCAGCGTGGAGGGATCAAACTTGACGTTGTTGCGACGGTTTCCACGACCCCGTGTATCGCGCTCCTCGGTCTTGTCCTCCTTCTGCTCCTCAGCTTTCGCCGACTGTTCGCCGAGCTTCGCAGCGGCAGCTACAATGCGAGCCTCCTCTGCATCTTCTGTGGGAGCTTCCTCCTTCTTCTCTTCTGCGGGCTGCTCGGAAGGCTTGGCAGCTTCCCCGGCGGTTTCGCCCTTCAGCTCTGCCAGAACGTTCTGAACATCCTTCTCGGCCTCAGCATTGGTGTTGGTGGCCGGGGCAACCTTCTGCTCGTCGGCCATGACTGCAAATTACTTCTGAGTCCTGCGACTCTGTACAGGCGGAGAAAGAGAATGGGAGAAGAGCGCCGCGCAGGTCCTGTACTCGATCAGACTCGGTCAGCATACAATGAATTCTTCTCGACCTCCGGTTTCAAAACAAAAGACGGAAAGATGGATTTGAAATTATTGATCGAAGGGTTGACGATAGATAAATGCGAATCAACTCCGTGTAGTCCGAATGCAGGGTATGACTCCACGTGAGTCGCGCGAAGCATAAGCAATGCACAACATGGTAGCCTTACCTCCAATTAAAAAGCCTCGCGGTCTAGGACAAAACGATGCAGCAGTAGAAAAACAATCAAAAACAGAGGCTTCTGCACACAATGAGTATCGTACTTTTCTCCGGTTGGAAGAAGGAAAATCTTAAGGCGAATAATAATGCGCGGCGGGGGGAAATTTTCTGAACACTGCGGAGCTTCAGCCACACGGAGAATCGAGGTCTGTGGCGCATGCAGCCCCTAAGTACTCCACAGACACCTCGATTCCAAGGCAGAAAGACTAACCCTATTGGGAGATTCGATATGGATTAGTAGTTTCTGTCGACTCCAAACTCCTTCAATCGCCAACGCGAGAAGGGTTGAATCATGCTCTCAATTGTCATGGCACTGGATCACGTCTGCAAACCGTGCTATTGCCTTTCCAGCTTTACTCCCGCTGCTCCAGGCCCACCATGGACGCTGTGTCGCTCGCTGAGCGTGCCTTCCATATCGAAGCAACTTGCCCGACCGTCTTCGTACTGGCTTGTGGGTGTCTACTGCCACAGACGACCCTGAGTGTCTTTAACCTTGAGTATCTTCAAGACCCTCGCGTGTCGGATCTCATAATACATCATTACTTTGTTCATTTTGGATAAAACTCGAGTGGTTCGAAGAGTAGCGATTGCTCCATCGTCTGACGTCTCTCAAATCTGTGACTGCTCTGATCGGTCCTCTGTGGTTTCCTTGTCAGCTCGAGCAGATCATCCGGCGGCCCTAACTTGCTCTATTCGCTCTCCAAGCACATCTTAACGTGAGCAGGTAGCAAGCCCCAACATCGAATCGAAGGTCTATCAATCGACCTGCTAATCGATGCACCTGGGAGTACAGCTAGGGGTCCAGTTGATCAAGCGAGCCAGCAGCAAGTGGTTGCCTACCGAAGCTTCAGTCCAACGTCTTGACTCTATTGCACTGTTCAACGCTATCACTGGACTTTGGAAGAAAGACATCTAGTGATGGCTGAAAGTAGTAGTTCGGTTTCTTCGAACCCCTTCACCACCATAGATGTAAGTTTGCTCATCAGTTGAATGCACTGGATTCAATCTCACGAGAAGCCTAGGTAATATATCTTACAATCGTCTCCCCTCTGGTATTGGCAGCATTCTTGGAATGGTTCCTCTGGATTGCCGCGTTCTTATACTGCCTTGCCAAGGTCTATCAAAAAGCAGATCACTGGAGTGTCAGATTCCTCGCGGTCACTATGATTGTCCTCTTCACATTACTCAGGTAAGCTTCAATATGACGAGCCTTCCTGGACAGGTCATTCATGCTTATTCCATTCGCAGAGGAATTTTTCTGCCTGTCATGATCGTGACCCTGCCCCTCCCAGCTCAGTTGAAACAACGCTTCCCCGCTCAGATGGTATTGGTTCTCCAGTGGTTCGCATTCGGGATGTTTTCCGCGCTGCTTATCATCCCTTGGCTATTGTGCGTCTACAGACTGGTGACACATTCACCGGGCAGAACCAAGCGGATCAAGCAAGTTTTGGATGACCGAACTGCTCCCAAAACAGTCGTTGTTATGCCAGTCTATAAGGAGGCTCCTGAAACCTTAATAAGAGCAATCGATTCTGTGGTTGATTGCGATTATCCAGCTAACTGTATCCATGTGTTCCTCTCTTACGATGGCTGCATCATTGACGAATCCTATCTTCGGGTCATTGACCACCTTGGAATCCCAACTTCACTGGAGAGCTATCCACGAAGTATAGACGTGACATACAAAGGCGCCAGGATTACGGTGTCTCGTTTCAAGCATGGGGGTAAACGGCATTGCCAGAAACAAACTTTCAGATTGATCGATGTGGTATATGCGGATTATTTGAAGCGCCACGACGACCTTTTCGTGTTATTCATTGACTCCGACTGCATCCTTGACCGTGTATGTCTGCAAAACTTCATGTACGATATGGAGTTGAAGCCAGGGAGTAAACACGACATGTTGGCAATGACGGGGGTCATTACATCGACCACGGATCGGGGCTCGCTCCTCACGCTTCTGCAGGACATGGAGTATGTCCATGGGCAACTTTTCGAGCGGTCAGTGGAATCTACTTGCGGCGCTGTGACTTGCCTCCCCGGAGCTTTGACGATTCTCCGGTTCTCCGCCTTTCGTAAAATGGCCAAGTACTACTTCGCGGATAAAGCCGAGCAATGCGAGGACTTTTTTGACTATGGGAAGTGTCATCTTGGAGAAGATCGCTGGCTCACGCACCTGTTCATGGTAGGCGCTCGGAAACGTTATCAAATTCAGATGTGCGCGGGCGCTTTTTGCAAGACCGAGGCGGTGCAGACATTCAGCAGTCTTTTAAAGCAGCGTCGGCGCTGGTTTCTGGGTTTTATAACCAACGAAGTGTGTATGCTGACTGATGTGCGGCTTTGGAAGCGTTACCCCCTACTCTGCCTGGTCCGTTTCATGCAGAACACAATCCGAACAACCGCACTGCTGTTTTTCATCCTCGTGCTCTCGCTTATAACAACATCCAGCAGCATTAATGACCTGCCCGTGGGGTTTATCGCCATATCGCTGGGACTCAATCACGGCCTCATGTTCTACTTGGGTGCGAAGCTCAAGCGCTACAAAGCCTGGCTTTTCCCGCTGATGTTTATCCTAAATCCCTTCTTCAATTGGGCGTATATGGTGTATGGGATTCTCACTGCGGGCCAGCGTACATGGGGAGGACCGAGAGCCGATGCCGCCACCGCCGATGAGCATACTTCGCCTGAGGAGGCTATCGAACAGGCTAAGGCTCAAGGCGACGAGCTCAATGTCGATCTGACCACTTTCCGTTCCAGAGGGGAGGAGAAGAGCGTTCCAATCCATCCCTCAGAGAAGATTGAAGGGCGCTTCGCTGCGCCACAGCTCCCCGACGTTTATTACTCGAACCAGACCGACTCCAGCGCTGCCCTGGCCGAGTTGATGACGCCTCTTCCCGATGTCCCTCGGATAGGTATCCATTCACATCCGTCCTCTGACTCGATCGTAACCTCGGACTCGCTGAGCTCGGTCCATCTTCCGCTTAAGGTTGAAGAGCTGACAGGTGATGATGACAAGATGAAACCTTATTTCGATCGGCAAACAAGGGACACATCGGGTGTGCATCAGATGCAGAGGACTGCTTCTAACATTATCATGGCCAGTGATTCATGCTCTTCGCAAGAAGATGCCTTCGAAATGGTAGACAAGAGTCAGATATTGTCTCCATCTGCTCATATCCTGCCGCACTCATCACAAGCCACAGAGTCGTCATCCGGAGAGGATATATACCCACTTCACTTGCCCGCAGTGGTGCAACCCGAACAAGAGACACAGTTTGCTCCTATCAGTGCTTCAACCAGAGGTCCAATGGAAAGAAACACCCCAGAGGTACAGAAACCCCGCCGTAAGCTTCCAAGGATTCCGCGGCCTACCAAAAGACTAAAAGATCCCGAAAGTATGGTCTAGGGTACTTGCACACGTCTTGAGTTGTTCGTGTCCAAGCTCAGATGTCCTAGAGAAGCGGCTCCATGCACATTGATGGTCAATCGAGAAAGCTCCAGGCATGGAGACTACCCCCTTGATGTTTTATCAGATTCGGTCGATTCTTGCAGAACAATTCTATGCTTTCTTATCCTCTTATTTCGGAGCTGCTTCGAGAAACATTTTGTACTTCATGCTCCGTCGTCCGGCCTTATGCATGTCGCTTTGATAACAAAAAATAGCACACTCTTTTAGACTGATCTTGCGTGGTCACCAAACCTTCATTTGCCTGGGTAGCAGATTATGTATTTATCAAGAAGAAGAAGGACAGTCCTATCAACCACTAGCCAGAAACGGCCTTACAGAGCAAACATAACTGAAGCAGGGGCGCTCAGCTTTTCTGTCAGGCTCCGAGGACATTTACATGATCTGCCTCCCCCGCCAATTGCAACATTCAAACATTCCCCTTACAAGGACCTATCCGTACCAGTTGTTGCACAGCCTGGAGGTGTATTCCCTGTGATTGTTCACTCATGCCTTAACAGAAGCGCTCCTATCCCGTGTCCGCAAGCAGCTACAGCAGGATGATCCAGGTCTGTATTCTAACTTCCGTGTTGTTAGCGGCTAGAAACCTGCCGTTGCGGGACGATGATGGGCACTCAAGATCTTTGTGCTAAGGGTTTATCTCGAACTGAGTAAACAAATCGAACACAACCGCGCCGTGCGTACAGCGAGACAGGTTTCGGATCCCGGGGAGTGACCTTCGCTCCTTGTTGGCTGTGTCGGAAGACTTCTTCACTTGGGTACCTTGACACTACTATCTAGGAGGAAAGAGGCAGAATAGCTTCTGACGTAATGCCATGCATCTGTGTCTCCTTCAGGGCAATTCTCACGAAGACGACATGGTCAGATACGTCCAACATGGCCATGGCCAAGAGGCACGATTATCGCTGCCAAGATCTATTACCTGATGGTTAATAACAGTTTGCTTTGCCCATCCCACTTCTTTGTTTACTGTTAGTCAAGTGGATGGTGATTGGTCAGGTGACTACTAATCTAATCGATAAGGCGGCGGAACCCCGCCAAAAGCGGTGAGCCAAGACAGGGTACTGCCGGGGAAACCACCAGGCGGTGTGACGCGGGAAGAATCGAGCAGGAGCCAGAAGGTTCGACAGGCAGCACAAGGACAGCTTGGGCTTCAGGAGCACGCATAACTAAGAGTAATTGCCCCCGATTCACTCAGATTCC